CATTTCGGTAAATATAATAAATATGCGATATCGTCCACGTGAGATGCTCCTAAAAATTTAATAAAAAAGATACAAAAATTAAATATTTTACTTTTGATAAAAAAATGCATACCGCGATATGATATGCGATATAAGAGATTGAAAAAAAAAATGACAGCCTCACCAGAAATGTGACGTTTTACTAGAAGATCTGTGGATGTTTTCTCGTTGCCAATGTATGAAAATTTACAAAAGTAATTAGGCGCAGTTAATCTTTTCACTCGATCTTCTAACATTAACATCGCAGGAATACCGAAGAATGTATCGGTCATAAAATTTGATAGATCGTATAATTTCTCTTTATCGATCGGTTTTCCCCCAAAATATCGATCTTTTACCGCATTGAATAAATTTTTTATCTCCGCATCTCCTAACTTCTTCAATGTTCCCAAAGCTTTCACGTGGATAGGTAGATATTCATTATAAGTGTTCAACGATTTTTCGCTTATATCTGAAGATAATAGAAAATAACGATAATAATATCGATATTCGTGTATTATGATTTCATATTTCTAAATAAAATTCACCTTTCATAAACATAATGAATTCGTGCGACGTGTAACTAATTATGACTGGGACATTCGCATCTTTCTTCAACAGTTGTTCGATAGATTCTGGTAATACAGGATTCTCTGCTACCTCGTCGTTATTGATTCCAAACGCAAGATTATGGGATAACGATTCCTACAAGACGAAATAGGAAATTTTTGTTTGTTTCAATTTTTTGTTTCTGATAATAATTGCGATAATATAATATAATATAATATAATAATATAATAATAATATATAAATTTAAAAAAAGAAAAAAAATTTGCCTCCTGCGTAAGGATAGAAGCTTGAGCCTTGACAATATCCTCAGCTGGCACCGTCCGTAGAAATTCGATCACCTCTTCAGGATCGTGAGAATCTTTTCCGAGAAGAGAGGCCAGTTTGAAGCCACGTTCAGGAAGACTTTGATTCATGGCCCAAGAACATCGTATCAATCCACTGTGCATAATCGCTTTGTGGAATAATCCTATAAATCAGCATAAGAGAATTAATTAAATTAGTTTTTTTAGACAAATCACTTACATAAAACATAAAATTAATTAATCGAAATTGATTGTTACCGCGTGCACATGGCGATAAAAGCAAAGAATGAACTAAAACTCCTCCAGCGCTGGCGCCAAAAATAGTAACGTTATTAGGATCTCCACCGAAGTTAGAAATATTTTCCTTAACCCATTTCAAAGCAGCGATTAAATCTTTTAACCCTTGATTTCCTGGCGCGACTCGGTGGCCAAGATTTAAAAATCCTTTAAAATTTAAAATTTACTTAAAAATTTTTGAGTGAAAAGTATTTTTTTCGCTGTTTTTCTTTGTTTTACACTTTTAAAATTTGAAAAAAAGGAAATGTATATATGAGCAAAATAAAACTAACCGAATGCCCCAAGTCTATAATTAGTTGAAACAACAACGACATCTTTTGCGAGTAAATAATCAGGCCTTGAACCTTCCTGAAAACTTGAATTGCCTACTACAAATGCACCACCATGTATCCAAAACATAACTGGTTTCGATTGATTAAGTGAATTAGTGTAAACATTTAGGTAAAGACAATCTTCATTGCCGAGCAATTTGAAAGGTTCAACTTCTTCTTGCTGTGAACATATATATGTCTTCAATTGGGAGGTGTCCTTGATACCAGTCCATGGCTGAGGTGGTTGCGGATCCTAATTTAAGAAGAAATTAAAAATCTTATTTAAAAATATTACTTAGAAATATAGTGTGAATTATTAAAATTAATAAGAGATTAGAAATCATATTTTGCTCTTCATCACGGATAAAATATCGAGAGTTCATCAAAAGATTATTAAGTTATATTAGAAGTTATATTATTATTTTATTTATAAATAATTCAAGAATATATTTTTCTAAATATGATGTGTACATAGAAACATAAATATTTTCATAATCAACATCTAAATAATATAACTATAAATTAACTGTAAACTGAATTTTTAAATTTTTTTTTGAAATATCAAATATCTAAATTATTTAAAATTATGAAATTATTGGATAAATTTCAGATAAATTTTAGAAAATTTCAGATAGATAGATTTTGAAAAATTTATTTTTTTTCTAAGTTTTTCGATTTATATTACATATATATATTTAATATATTATATAAAATAATATTTGAGATATTGCATAAAATTATATATTATAAAAATATATAAAAATTAAAATTAGAAAATCATTTTATCAAATCAGTTATGAATTTTAATGTTAAGAAATCATTTTATCAAAAATTTTATCAAAAATGTTTAAACGTATTCAATGTCTAATCTTGTCTATTTTTAATGTAAAGCATAAAACATTCAAAAGATAAGATTAATTAAATTTTATTAAAAATTCTTTCATAAATTAATCTTAATTTTAACAATTAATTTTAAAAATAAAATTAATTAATTTTATTTTGAAATGTTTTGCTCCAATTTTGTTTTAATTATTTTGAAATGTACATAAAAAATTATAATTTCAGTTGCGTCAATAAATATTTCCTTATCAAGATACAAACATCATTTACATAACATAGATCTATTTATTAAATTTTAAATGATATGAAAAATATGAATAAAAAATTGAAGTTTGAAAATTTTTAAATGTAAATAAAATTGACTATTTTTTAGAATAAATAAAAATAAATTAGCGACAATTTAACATATAAAGATAAGATAAAAATATGTAGAATAATTTTATTTACGAGTGACTTTTCAAGGAATTTAAATTTGAAAATTCTTATTTACAATTTTTTGATTATATACAATTTCAAAACAAAGATATAAATAATAAAATTTTATTTTACATTTTGCTTATTTTTACTTAAATTAATCAATAATTTATTAGTATTTAATTTGTAAATAATCAATTTTAATTATACTTACAAATTTTTCAAAATTGTTTTACTTGAAAAAAAGTCTCAAATTTTAAAAAGAATTTTAGTTTTACTTTTTTACTGTCTATAGAAACTGTCTAATTGTATCATTAATTATAGAATATTCTGAATATAAATAATTTATTGTTATGAATAATTCAAAAATATATTTTTTTAAATATGGTGATACATGGAAACATAAATATTTTCATAATCAACACTTAATATAACTGTAAATTGATAAAAATTGAATTTTAAAATTTTTTTAAAATATCAAATATCTTAAATTAGAAATTCATAAATCTTCTATGAGTTTTTTTAATTAATTAATTAATATTATTATAATAAATATATAAATAATATAATTAAATATTAATATATACATTATGTTATATTTAAATACATATATATAATAATATATATTACATATTAATGCATAAAAAATATAATTATATTAAATTTGTATATATAAAAAATATATAATATATATTATATATATTAATATAAAATAAAATATATATTCTCGAATTTTTGACAAATGTTTGAAATATGGCTGCTATCATAAGCTTTAGTTAGTAATGTGAAATAATATAAAATATAAAATATATTTTATATATATAAAAATATATATATATATATACCTTAAATCTGAGGTCTCCAACAGGAGGGGCAGCAAAAGGTATTCCTCTAAAAGCGATGTACAATGATCCTAACGCACTTTTAAGTACTGCTCCTCCTAATTTTCCTTGTTTTACAGTTACTATTTGTTTGCTCATTGTTAACCAAGTTCCTTCTACTTCGATGTCTTCTGCATAAAAGTTACACATTTGATAGAAAATATTTTTTTATTACGTATTTTATCAATTATAATCTCACATTTAGAAAAAATTTAAAAATGTTGAAAGATTATGACATGTTGCACACATATAATGAAACAGTATAATTAATCACATATAAGATATAAGATATAATTCCCATTTGTTCTTGCAGATATATCAAATTGAAGTTTGTTTAATATGTTATATAAGAATAGAATAAAAGATAAGAATTGAAAGCAGAAATATACTTATAAACAGAGTGGGGAGAGAGATTGTAGAGTGGGGCAATAGTGAATTTTAATTAAATTTGATTATTTTCTATCTTCGTTATTTCATAATTCGTAGAATTATGAAAAAACTTCATATACTTCATATAAACATCATATTTATGTAAACTTTATCTTTTTGTGTATATTACAAAGAGAATCATAATGTGAAAAAGATCTTTTTTCTATAGTAAAAAATTCTCGAAAATAATTTCAATTTTTTTTAAATACTATATTTTTCTATTTTAAGTAAAAAATAATAGTAATCTAAACGATTTCAATGATTCTTAATACAAATTCGTCAAATAATGAATTTATAATAGATGTTTAAAATGATATCGTTTATATCGATACAATCAATATTGATTGAAATTGAAATCATCAAATTATTAAAATAAACTTATTATTTTAGAGAATTTTATCGCTAGAATTACTTCAATTTTTCATAATATTTTTTATATATCTTTTTATTATTTATGTTTCTAATATTGTTTATATATGTTTTTTTATATACATCGCTTAGAAAAAAAGTGGCTTTGAAATCTTTAATAAAATAATTCCAATTAATAAAAAAAGTTTATTTTTATACCATTTCTCTTCACCAAACAATTATTATAAAAACATTTTTTTGATATCTTTAATCCTTCAAATATAAAACGAGTCTAAATAAAACAAACATTCTGTAACTTTATACGTTTTAATTTTATAATATACAATATCTTAAAATTACAAGATTTAATATTGTTTAAATAAATTTTTAATATTAATATAATATAAGCTGGCCATATTTGATATAAAATAATCCAAGAAATAACTGTTATATTAGGTATGCAAACTTATATAATTAACATTCAATAAACGGTATTATAAATGAAATTAATAACTATATAAAACTGATTATTTTAATATATATATAAAAAATGAATTAATATTTATTTCAAAAATATGAATATAATTATAAAATATATACGGACGTTTTTATAAATAATAAACAATACAATTGCTTATAATATATGAATATTATATTATGAAAGTTTTTCGAGGCACATTATTTATTCAAATACGATTGTATAAAAAATATACTTCAGTCATTTTAATTGAAGCAATAAGACAATCTGACACAGATTAATTGAGACTAATAATCGAGACGTTTTATAAGCCCAATCTGATTAAGCTCATTATGTTTCTTTGGAAATATGTAATTCTTTTCTTTCTTTTTTATAATTTGACGATGTAAAAAATTGTATCAAAAATTAACGTTTCATCTTATCGAGTATAGGAACGACCATGTCAAAAGATGGACGTTTTCCTGGATCTTCATTCATACAAATCCTAATAAGCTTAGCAAGATGTGGTGAAATTCCTGGAGGTATACTAACGCGTAAATCTTCTAATGCGATCTATAACAAATACAAGAAGGAATATATTTATACTGATAAAAATTTATATAATAAAATAAAAACTTAAATTAATTATATATAAAAATTAACCAACTTTCATGCCACATTCCATTGGCGAAAGATCTGCGAATGGAACTTCTCTAGTCGCAAGTTCCCATAATAAAACAGCGAAACTCCACATATCACTGGCCTCGAGATTTATATCTGCTGGACGTTTACTTAAAGCTTCTGGAGACATCCATGCTGGTTCATAAATTCGACCTACCTCTTGGAATGAAAATTTCGAGTCCGCCATATTTACGCGAGCTGTTAAATCTTCATCTATCTGCAAATAGAAATATTTTTATTATTTTGATTTTTACATTATTAAAATATCATCATTAATAAAATATATACCATTATATGTTTACTATTGAGATGAAATCTGCATCTATTTTGTCTTTCAAGCCCATGAAGAAATGCCATAGCTCTTGCAACATCAAGAGCAAGCCTAAGTGCACGCGCAGTATCAACAACGACACCTGTACCTCCATGTAAAAGCCTATGCAAACTTCCACGCGCCATATATTGCGAAACTGTAGCCAATTTTGGTGGTTGATTAACACAACCAAGTACAGGTAATACATTGGGATGTGAAAAAATTCGTAATTTCGGAAATTCTTCATTAAAGTCCCTTGAAATTCGAGCCGTGCATTCACGTATATTCAAAATTTTTGCTACAATATCATTATTTTGCCAACGTCCACGCCATGTTTCACCGCTTGGTGTACTAGCTAATCGAGTATGTAGAGATAGATCTGCCATATTTATTCCTTTGTGTCGTGATAATGTAGCATCACCTAAATAATATGAATAAATGTTATTATTATAGATTAATAAATTTATTATTATAGATTATATTATTATATTATTTTCTGATCTATTCTCTGATTTAATGTAATAAGTAAAATAATGTAATATGTAAGATAATGTAATCATTACTTACGACTTCTAGTTTTTAGACCTAGCCAGCTTTGATCTTTAAACTGAATCTTCTTTAAATCTTGTCCATATTCTACAGCTAAATCTAAATAATCAATAATGTAATAATTTGTTAATCACAAATATACAGAATATCTTGTAAGAAAATGGACTGATTTTATGTAAAAAAATAATCTGAATGTCTAAAATAATTTTACTTATATTTGAAAATTTTTTAAATTTGATTTCGAAAACAAAACTTCAAATAAAAAAATTTTATTCTACATTTTTGACTTATTTTCTCATATAGAATCAATCAATGTTAATTATTATTGTTATGGGAGATCCTTATATAAATAAATAATAATTAATTTCACAAATGTGAAATTAATCAAGTTCATTGAGACTAATAGTTTCCTAAAATTAAATATTAATCATACGTTTTAAATTTTAATTAATCATATATTTTAATTTAATTTTTTCCAAAATTTATAATTTAAAAAAATAATTATTTTTTAAAATTTAAATATTAATATTTTTACCATGTAATCTTTTGGCTAAGTGACCTCGTGCTTTATCTAAAGGAGTATCTCCATCTTTATTTGCAATAGATACAAGAGCACCAGCAGCTACTAATTCTTCAGCAACTGCTTGATCACCCCAAAAGCATGCATAATGAAGAGCAGTGTTGCCATGTTCATTTGTAACATTGACATCTGCACGATTCCTAAGCAACTATAAATATAAATTTCATTAAATTCTTAAAAATAAATTTTTAAAAATCTTTTTTCATTTCATTTTATACATTAAATATATTTTACCAATTGAACTATTTCTTTGTGTCCATGAGCAGAAGCAAGATGAAGAGGAGTATCATCTCCTCTGTTAGTAGCATTAATACGTGCTCCTCTGCTAACTAATAATTCTGCCAATTTTAAGTGTCCTTCTTTGCAACACCAATGGAGTGGACTAAATCCATGATCATCCCTATATATAAATAATGAATGAAATTACTACTTATCCTATATAATTAATTAAACAAATAAAAGTTAAAAAACAATTTAAGTAAGAGTAATAAAAAGACAATTTTTTTAAATTTGATCTCAAAACAAAATAAAAAAAAAACAAAAAATAGCATTTTTTTTTAAATTTCTTTTATTTACCCTTGATTCATATCATGTTCAGTGTCATCCAACCAAACACGCACTTGCATAGCATTGCCTTCACGACACCATTGAAAAATATCTTCCATTTTTCCAATTATCAGATACAATAAAAATGTATAAATATTATAAGGGAGTGGCACTGCTCCGTGCTCCAAAATACTGAAGTCGTCATATACTAAATATAACCATATTTCTGTGAAAACACTAATGACATAAAAATTTTATTACTACATTATATTTAATAGACCGATTTGTAATGAAAAATAAATCTATTTAATTATCAAAATGTATATATTAATTTATAATAATACACAATGTTTAATATAATAACTTTATTGCAATGAATACAATTCTTCATCTGCCCATATATGACGCGTAAAATTATAAACTGCCACTGCCACAACCAGACTATTGGTTATTTCATATTACCCACACTATAAAGAATTCTCATGCTACCATCTCATGTTTTACCAGAGATGATATACAGAAACTGACTGTACTCACAGATTTTATATGTGTAGAATATAGGTGATATAGCATAGATTATAAATCCATAGATAAGAAACAATATATATGACATTTTATGCTATTTTGTATCATATATTCTGAAATACTTCGAAAAAGTGTTCTTTATATTTTTTAGCATCTTATAATCTAAGCGGTATATTATAATATCCAATCGGTGATTTAAAATTATCAAATATAATATCATGCACGAATACAAAATAAATCTAATATAAAATGCTTTTTTTAGATTTTAGAAATTTGATAGTTAATTCCCTTTTTAATACCATTTTCTTCCATTATCAATTCAGTATAAAAAAACAATTGAATAACATTTAATAATGAAAACGAATTTAAAATTTTAAAACTTCATTTTATTATAAAAATCATAAATAAGATATAAAAAAAAGTTTATCAAGATAATAATAAATAATATTTTCGTTTCAATTTCTAAAATTATGAAATGTATAAGCACAAAATTTTTATTCTATATTTTTTGAATTATTTAATTTTGTATACATATTTAGATTATGATATTAAATCGCGTAAAAAACACTATGATTATAAATGCATCATGTGGATATGGATTATAAATAATAGAAAAATTGACTTTCAGCGTCATCTTTTAAATATCCAAAACATCTTTTTTATATCTTTCTAACAATCAAAAGATAGCGCTAATCCTAAATTCTTACTCTACTTTATTCTATCTTTAAAGAAATATTTTTTGTGTTCAAGCTAAAGTCATTTTTTTCTCATTATTCATATCATTATTTTATTCTCATTTGCTGTCTTTGCTTATATATCTTTCATTTACAGCATTAAAGATAGAATTAATTCCTAAATTTTTATTTTATCTTTATTCTTTTTCCATATTTTATTTCCATATTATTTCCATATTAAATTTTTTATACTTATTTGTACATGTCTACAAATGATACGGAATTTAACGCATTTTCGATTCTTTTTCAAAATTATTACGTGTCTTATTAGATACATACTTATATAGGTATTTTGATTTGTAATTTTACTTAACTACTTGTAATTTTACTACTCAAAATTTATAGATAAGTATAAAAACATAAAAAATTGAAATATAAAAAATATTTTTCATATAATTCATATTCATATATTTTGCATGTAGTTCAAAAATTAGAATTGAACATCATAAAAAATGTATAGAAATGTAAAGAAAAAATTGCTTAAAATGATTAATTGTTTAACAATTATTTCAAATTGATTAAGATCGATAAAAAGTAATATATTGATATATTAATTCTTATTTTTGTGATAAAATATTTCTTAATTTATTTTTGATTAATTTTATGAAATCTAATATTATAAAATATTTTGTTATACATATATTTCATTTATAATTACACAAAATTTAATTTCAATTTCAACTACTATCAAATTTTATAACATCGAAATGATACTAAAATGATTCTCTGAAACTTTTCTAAGTATAATAAAAAATACATTAAATATTGTCTATTCTGTAATTCTGTAATATGTAATATCTATTCTGCTTGTTATCTATGGCCTGTGGCCGTACAATTTATAATAGTTCATAAAAGAATTTTTCTTTAAAAATTTTATAACATAATAATATTATAAAAATTTAAGTGAAAAATATTTATATTAAAATCATCAATTTAAACGAAATATTTGTTATATAATAATGGAATTAAAAAACATTGTACGTATTTTATTCTGTGTTTTTATACATATTTTTAATTTGAATTGCAACGATGTGATTGTAATGTATATAGATTAAAAAATATAAGGATATGTAAAATAAAAGTTTTAAAAATTTAAAAATAAAACTTAAAAATAAACATTATGAATAATATATATTTGAAATTATATTATCGTATTTGGTTATAAATAAAGTTTTTTAAGATTTTTATAAAAATATCTAATTAAATATTTTGACATAATATTTAATTAATATTTAGATATAAAAATTACATTACATATAAAATTGTTTATATATCTGATTTAAGCAGATGTGGACACACATGTTTAATTTTTTTTTTTAATTAATGACAAATTTTTAATACAAAAATGTCAGATGAAATAAAAATAACTTTAAAAGAAGCTCGTATAGCATTTAAAGAAAATAAATATTTAGATGTAATTAAAAAATGTAAAAAGATATTAAAAAAAGATCAATGTAATTATGGTGCACTTATGTTATTGGCGGCTGCAATGAAAGAAATAGATGAATATAAATCACAAGTACCATTAATTCTTCAAAAAGGTATACAAATTCAAGCAGATAATCCATTAGCTTGGCATGGTTTAATAACTTATTATGAAAAAAATTTGGATGATAATAATTGTTATAACAAATTAATATTGGCTTATTGCAAACTTTTACAGATTGAAAGGTATAAAAATATTCTATATATTTTATAAATTTATTCTAAAATTTATTATTAAATAATGTTTGAAATTAATTAATATAAAATTAAATAATATTTAAAATTATATTTATCTTTTAAATCTAATATTTCAAATGTATTATTTAATAATTTATTTTCAGTGACTCTAAGTTTACATTTATTTTAAATAAAATCTCAGAGCTTTCATTACAACTTAAAGATGTTGCAACTCTAAGTCAATGCATTGAGCATTTAAGTGAATTACAAAAAGAATTGGATGATAATAAAATTAAAATGATTGATAAAGTACTTGGAAGAATTTTATTAGATAATATTAATAAGTTAGATAAATATCAAGATTTATTAAAAAATGTTTTTAAATCTTCAATTATTGATCTTGATGCAATTGAACAACAACATTTTTATAGAAAATATTTGAAAATATTATATGACAAAGATGAATTAATTATTTTAATGAAAGAAGCTATAAATATGCATCAGCAATTTCCACAAGATATAATATCACTAGGTAAAATATTCAAAATAATATATTAAATTTTTTAATAACTAATGTATGAAAATAATATAAAATAAAATATATAAAATAATATAAAATAAAAAAATACTTTTTATTATCTTTTAAACATTTTTACATACATTATATTGAATTTATGTTGAATATTTTGAAGAATATTATTATTGTTATAGTTTTGTTTACAATTAATATATATTATAAACACAAAATAATTTTTTTTTTAATTTTTATAACTTTTATAATTATATAATTGTTGAATATTTTATTATTCTATATTTTTGAAATGTAAAATAATGAGATATTCAATAATTCAAAAATTCAGTTATATTCTATAATTGTTGCATTGTTTCTATTACAAAAATTACATATAAATACATAAAAATATATATATAAAAAATTATATGTATATATATCTTGATATATTCTATATTTAAAAAAGAGAGATATTATAAAGAGAAATGAAATAAAATGAAATTGAGAATTTGAAATCTCAGAAATATCAGACTAAATATCTATTAAAAATCATTTTTATAATGAATGTTATACAAAAATATGTTTAAAATATATATGAAAAATATTTGTTTTAGAACAAATGTAACAAAGAAAAAAAGAAAGAACCTAAAATTTATAAGATATTTAATAGACATTTTGTGATTTCTTTTGAGTTTTAAATTAATGATATATATGTAAGAATAATCTTATTATTTTTTTTTAATTTCAGAATATATATGTCGTATTTATTGTGAACAAAATATATTAGATAAAAATTTTTCTGATATTGATATTATACAATTTTATGAATGTCTTCTAAAATTAAATAAAGAGTCTGAAATTGCTGCAGTTACTAAAGCAATATATTTAAAAAAATCAAATGATTTGATTACGGCACGAGAAATATTAAAAGATATGCTTGTATTAAAACCACATTCAATACATGGTTGGATGGCACTAAGTGAAATAAGTATGAAACTTTATTGTTGGGAAGATGCAGAAATAGCTGCCAAACGAATATTAGAAATCAAGGAATATAAATTAAAAGATGAATTAAAATATAAAATGGAATTAATATTAGTTGAAGCAATGAGTAGATGTAATGATAAACATAAATGGGAAACTGCTTTGCAAATATATGAACAAGTAAGAATTTCTTCCATTTACAAAATTCATTTTTAATTGAATTCCTGATTTTCTGAATATATCAATTAATACCCAAATATAGAGTACAAATGGAATATTTGTAGTATTAAAATCATACTGAAATCATCTTTAAATTGAAATAATTTAGCAATTTATTGTGAAATAAATTTCATTTCTAAGAAAGGAAATAATAAAAAATCTCTTGGAAACAAAATATACAATTTTTTAAAATGAAAAAGTGACTTTCGGCCCTTTATAATAAATTTTTTAATATTTATTTATTATCCGTTTATATGCACTTATGTATTTATTTAATTTTTAATTAGCATTTAAAAACACATACTTCAATGCAGTTGGATCTTATTCATGCACGTCTCAATATATTATTAAATCAGCCAAATGCATATATTTTGTTGAATAATTTGGAATCAAAATATGAAACTAAATCACAAGCTAATATTCTTCGAGCGTTATATTTAAAACAAAACAAACAACTAGATGAAGCTGTGAATGTTCTTGATTCAGTCTTAGAAACTTCTGAAACATGGTTACTTTTGGGTATAATCTATTGGGAAATGGCAGAATATAATTACAGCTTGATGGCTTTTTTAAATGGAATAAAAGCTGATCGTTATAATTGGAAATGTCTAGTTTATTTAGGTCATTATTATCGCGAATATGGTAATGATATGGAACGTTCTAGAAAATGTTATCAAAGTGCATTACAAATTAATCCAAATTCTGAAGAAGCTGGTATTGGTCTAAGTACAGCATATAGACTTCTTAAAAATCAAGTAAGCACAATGAATTTCATCATAAAATATATTTATTAATATATTTTTATTAATATATATTTAATAATATTTATAATTGTTTATTAATATATTAATATATTAATATTTTATTAT